TTGACAGTGAGACAATGTCTGCTTGCTCAGTCTCTGAGTCCATGCATGTTTCTTAGAGTGCTCTGAGCCTGCCCCGCATCAGTTTCCGGGGTGGGCGCGTCTCAGAGCTGGGCCATCTGGGGCTCCCCCTGGGGCAAACTGCATCTTGAACCAGCTTCCGGGGGATGCTGGTCAGAGGTCCAAATTACAAAATGTGGATTTGAATAATTTGGGGATTTTAGAAAAATATTTGGTGGGGGAGGGGAGGAGTTTCTGGGCTATGGAAACATTGTGAATAAGACAGCGTGCCTTAAAGAAGGAGGGTGGGAGAGAGGGCAGGATTGGGGAGAAGCGTTGGTGTATTTCCTCGGGATACTCAGGAGAGCTGTGTGTGTGTTGACAGAGAGACAGACAGACACCTGGAGGAATGCCTGAACCTGTCAGACTATGTAGGCACCAGCATCGGAGCTACACGATGAAGAATTCGGTTCCAACAAGCCAGTGTCTCAAACGGCGAGACAGCGAGCCCTCTGAAGGCGACAGGAGGCGGGCTCGCTGCGGCAGGTGGGGCCTCGCTCCCGCTGTCACCAGCCTCCGGTGACTCCGCCGGGCCGGGCTGTGGGACCACTGTGACGGGCCGCCACCGCTCACGTGCGCTCGCTCCCTGCACCCAGCCAGGGCCGAAGTGGCAAAGGAGCATGGGCTAGAATGACGTCAGAGTCACGTGCCCAGTTCCAGGCTCCCTTCACCTCTCTGGCTTCAGTGTTCTCATCTGTCAAATACGCACAGATAGCCAGGAGCACCCCACCTCGCCTGGCCTAGAGCAGAGCACCCGCTGAGGGCTGCTGTTGCCTCTTCTGGTTTGATTTTGGGGGGTCTGCCTTTATCGACATTCAATAAACACCTCTCAACCTGGGAGACAGCTTCTGCGAAGAGGCTCAGTTGTGCCTCCCTCAGTGTCCAGAAAAGGAGACGCCTGATAGACCCTCCATGGCCAAAGCTCTCAGCACCTGGCAGCTTCCACGCCAGGGGGAGAAGCTGAAGAAGCTTCTTGTCTTCAACCAGAGACTCCCCGGACCGCTGCATGTGCTGTCTTCACCGCCGGCGGTGTCCCGCCCCAGACGGTCACACTGGCCCCGTCGCTGAGGGCCCTGATGGTCACCATGTCTTCACAGACGGCGCCTGGACACCGCAGTAAACCCCAATCCCGAGTCCCTTGCAGTGTCTCTCTGGTTCACTGTCCGCAACACACTGGGGCGAACCCAAGTCTACACTCCCAAATCACTACACGTCAGCGCTGCTCCGTCGCCCTTGCCAGAACTAGGCCTCAGAATGCGTCCAGGCCTGCCTGGCTCACCCTCGGGCCCTGAGCTTCTAGCACCGTCATTGATCCTAGTAAGCTTATTACATATCTGGAAGGTCCATGACGAAGTACTGGAAGAGGAAGGGCTTTTCAGTGTGTGGGAGAATCAGGTCTATCAGCAGACTACGTACCCTTGGCCCCACTTTCTCTCCTGGTCTTAGTTTCTGTACCTGTGGGGCAGCCCTCTTCTCCCCAACGAAACCACTGGGAGACAATCATTTCAGGAGTCTGCTTTGTCTCTAAGACAGCAGGTTAAGGTGAACTGATCTGTGTTCCTGTCACCAGATAAATAAATTACCTCTTCTTGTGATCCCAATATTTTGTCAGGGCAAAATAGAAATGTTCCCATTTCTATTTTTTTTTAAAGATTTATTTATTTGTGCATACAGAACTGGGGTACAGGCCAGAGGCTCAAGGGTGGTGAGAGGCTTCACCAGAGACAGAGTGGGGAGCAGAACAGGCAGATCTACGAAGTACACTGCTGAGGGGAGCAGCGGGCGGGTCAGGAGAGGTCTGCCACGCCATGTGGTCACCTCCGGGGCAGGCAGGAATCGAACTCATGCGGAAGCGGCTTTAGATTCTCAGTGCTGTGCTTTAACCCGCTGCGCCACCAGGGAGGGCCCCCCATTTCTATTTTCCTATGCACTAGCTGGACACGTGGCCCCAATACTGGGCACATACTATACGTCCCTTGGATACCAAGGGCATACCAATCATATCCTTGGGTAGAGTTCCCAAGAATTAATTGGATTAGAGTGGGCTGGGGAGCCCAGTTAAAAGATTTCACCCACAAACAGACTTGACTTATCAGATCTAGAGTAATAAGGTAAAGTGAAAAATGACCCAAGCATATCTAGGTCCTAATCCCTGAAACAGCAAATCAGTTACCTCCTGTGGCAAAAGGGACTTTGTGAATGTGACTGAACTTAAGCCTCTTCAGTGGGAGATGGTCCTGGATTACTGGGTGAATCCTAGACTCAATCACAGTGTCCTTATAAAGAGGCGATCTGATGGTGCAGAAGGCCACGTGGTGATGGAAGCAGATTGCTACGCTAGTGATTTTAAGGATGGAGGACAGTGCCACAAACAAACACAGTTCTAGAAGCTTGAAAGGCAAGGAAGTGGGTTCTCTTCTAGGCATCCAGAAACGAAAGCAGCCCTGCCCTGATTTTAACCCAGCAAGCCACCAAGGTCGTGCTACTCTATCATGACATCCCTAAGAAATGCGTACAGGTAGCGCCTGGGAATCTCCATTTAATGCCCTTTCTCACCCAGTGGCTCTGACCAGAGGGACTCCGGGAGCGCTGCACAGAGCTGTCCTGGGATGCATCTCGAGCGCCCTATTCACAGGAACCGACAAACTCTGTTTGAGTTGGAAGGAGCCTCAACAAACTCTACTTGTTCATTTTACAGAGGGAGAAACTGAGGCTGTGGAAATGCCACAGAAGGTACGATGAGAGGTGTTTTCATCTGACCCGTGGCTATCAAATTCCACTCAAACTTTTTAAAATGAGTGAGACTGTGTAGACTGTCAACCGCTTTACAATAATCTCATAATAAAGCCAACCCTGACCCAATCCTGAAACGATTTAGCAATCCTGCTACTAATTGCATTTGTGGATGTAGCAATTGGGTAACTAGCTGGTTATTACTCACTCCCGAGAGCCACACACACATTACAAGGAAGCTAATCTTAGAAATACTTGTTAACTTTGATGATAATTACTAAGTAATTGGCTAGAACATGCCATTGTGAATTTATCCAGAATATGCCAGGTAATTATCTGTTCTTATGTTCCCTGTAAAATAAATCCAGGGTCCAAACATTGTTCCAGTTGGTTGGCTATCTGCCAGCCATCGACCTCTGCCAGACAAGTATGCGAATGGGAGCGATTAATCAAATTACTCAAATATTTGCTTTCAAACTGAGCATTCAGACAAGGAACCTGGAGTGGCCACCAAGTGGACGGTGCTGAGTGAGAGAGAGGGGTGTGCAGCGCCCCTTCCTGAGATAAATATATAATGACGCAATAATATGGACTAAATACCCTTCTTGGGGGCTCATCTGGCTTCTTCACATAAAATACCAAAACACTTCAGAGACCAATTACATGTCCCAAAGCTGCAGAGTCTTTATCACAGTGCCAGGAAAAGGCTGCGCTATTTGTGAAATCTGCAGGCAGTTACGGTGCTGGGGAGGGGGGCCCCGAGTTTGGTACATAATAGAGAAGGGCTGCAAGCGCAGCTGGCTTGCAGCATGAGCCACAGTTTCATAATGACCACTTGCTTTTCAAGGATGGCTGCTAACTGAATCCATCCACTTCCAATTAGCCAGCCCTCAGAAAGTGGGTGAGAGAGGTGTGGGTAACTGGGACCCGCTGAAACAACGAAAAAAAAAAAAAAATCAGAGGGCAGGAGGGCCTTACAGGGCCAGACGGAGGGAGAGGATGGATCTCTAACTTGAGGATGGAACCAAGAAACTTTAGTGGAAGGCGGGGAGCTAACCAGAGCGCAATATGAGGTAACAACTTAGTGCAACCCGAGGACAGAAAATGAGGGGTGGGGACAAGATTCATGCACCCAAATACAGGACTGCCAGTGTAAGAGGCTGCTCCACTCTGGACAGGAAGGGAGGCGGCGAGGGGGCGGCGAGCGGCCACACTGCCCCCTCCTGCCTCTGTGCGTGGAGAGTGACACTGCACCCCGCCATGGAGAGCCTCCTTCACCCGTCAGTCAAGGCAGACCATGCGGCTTGCTGTGGCCAGCAGACATCGTCAGTGCCACACCGCAGAGAGCTGGGTGAGCTCTGGACCTCGGGGCACACCTCCCGCTGTGGCGGAACCCTGCGACCACCCCCAGTTGCCACGCAGACGGTGGCCACAGACCGGCGGATGTGAGGGCCCCTGGCCGCCAGCTGACCTGCCCCTTGAGCACAGCGTGACCGATCTCTCAGCCACTCAGCCTGGTCTGGCCAGAACAACTGCCCACAGAACACAGCCCCGAGGCAAAGAGGGCACGCGCCCAGGTGCCAGCGCACACCACAGGGCTGTCCCGCGACTCCTCAGCGAAGCCAAAGCTGGTGTTTCCAGTGGCCCCAGGCCCGGGTGAGGCTAGAATGAATGCATGCAAGGCCTCGTGGTGCCGTTTCCGCAACATCAGTCCTCGGTGACGCCTCTTTCTGTCCCTTACAGATCTGAGCCGGGGCGCCGTGTGCTGCGCTCGTGGCCGCAGAACCCCTCACCTGAGACCCGCGGCAGATGACAGAGGGCTCAGGCCCCGCGCAGCCCCGCCCGGCTTTGTGAGGGAACCACTGGGGCCAGCCACGCCCATTCGCTCACCCCTCGTCGTGGCCCTGCTCCCCCAGGCCACTGCGGAGCAGCGGCTGCCCGGGCTCCAACTGGTGGGGCCCCTGACTGAGCCTCACCAACCCCTTTACAGGGGAGGAGGGGCCTCAGGGACACCCTTCCGCAGGCCCAGGGGCAGGGCTCCACGCGCCTGACTCCGCGCCCTCGCCGAGCTCTGCGCCGCCAGAGTCTGAGCACTCGAGGTGTTTCCGGCACCTCCGCTTCTAACACCTCGTAAACACGAGAGCGGGTCCGGCCACCGGGATGCCCAGTGCCCAGAGCCCCGCTTCCCCGCGGGGTGGGAGCAGACTGACCTGGTGATGATGGCCAGGTGGGGCGGGCTCATGCAGGCGCCCATGAAGAGCACCACGTTCTCGTGCCGCGTCTGCCGGTAGGCCATCACCTCACGCTTGAAGGCCTTCAGCTGCTCCTCGTCGTCCCGCTCGATGTCGATCAGCCGGATGGCCACCTCCCCATGCCAGCGGCCGTGGTACACCTGCCCGAAGCGGCCCTTCCCGATGAGCTCGCCGACCTCCAGCTGCTCAAAGGGGATGTCCCACTCCTGGAGGAAGATGCTGGTCTGGCTGGCCTTGCGAGGGAAGCTCCGGGCCGAGAGGAGGGACAGGTTCATCTCCTCGAAGTCATCCTCCGACTCCTCGGCCTCCTCGTGGCCCTCTTCATTCTGCGGCCAGAGCAGGGACACAGGTCAGAGCCGCTCTTGCCAAACCCCAAGGTCCGGCTCGACGCCGGCGCCTGTCTGGGGCCATGTCCACTCTGGGCTGCCGCGCACACCTGTGTCTATTCGCCCAGGTGGCTCTGGTCTAGAGTCGTATACGATGGAGCTGAACAACCCAGCTCAGGGACCTACCGGGGAAACTGAGGATCAAAGACGAGAGCCACCGGGGAACCATCCCTCTGGTTCCCTGGAACTTTCCTGGTTGGGGACAGAGTCTCACACCCCAGTCCCGGGCAAATCCGGATGACGGCCACCTGGAAAGTGCCTGCTTCTAGGCCACGCCACCAAGCAGGGTGAGGATGAGGCTCCACCCGGCCGCCGCCCCACGACTTCCCACATGCCTGTGTCTGCGCAGTGAGGAAGGCAGGCTGGAGACGCACGCGCCTCGGACTGACGGCACACTGGTGATGCCTCGGGTGGGTGGCCTTCTGCCCCACCCGGAGAATTTGGAATTGATGAGCTGGACACAGGAAGAGTCCAGAGCTATTCTGTACAGACCAGAGGCCGTTCGGAAGGCAGAGATGTGCGAGGGAGGCTGACAGAAAGGCTGAATGGTTAGACCCAGCGGCCTGGCATCCGCCCTCGGTGCGACCACCGAGGATTCCAATGAGATGTAAGCCTGTTAAATGTCTGCACAGACCCAGGCACCTGCACGAAGCCTACACTGGAGCAGCTGAGAAAATGCAGATTCCCTGGCTCTGCACTATCTACCTGGCCGCCACCAGCAGGCCAGGGGGGGCATCTGCGTTATCTCGCCAGGTGTGGCCGCCACTAGTTCATCCTCCAGGCTAGGAACCACCTTCCCAGAAAGCTGTGAGTGTCTGGGCCGTCCTGGTGCTTAAGTCCTCCTGCCAGCAGGGGGGAGCAGCAGGTGCCCCCACCAGTGGGGACCCCTGGGGGCCTGGGGTCTGACGAGACAGCTGAGAAGCCTGCTTCTCGGCTGAGTGAAAGGCCTCTGACTCCAAACCCGAGGGAGCAGTCCCTGATGGCTCAGTCAGCTTCTCCAGGAGCATTTTCAATGACCACAACAGTTCCAGAGAAGGACATGATTTTCTCTGAAGGTCTGGACGTGAGTCCTTTTAGTCTGGTGGCCAGCAGAGGAAGGGTCTGCACTCCAGGCCCTCATCCAGGATGTTTCATCTATTCCTCTGGCATCTCTGGCAGGTGGGACAAAGCCCCAGAAAGTTCTCAATAGCCTGCCAAGCCCACCATCTCAGAGGCCCCCACCCCCACGTATTCTTTTGGAGACAGTGGGGTACCTCCCCCTTGATATTCACCCATCCCTGTTTCAACTAAAGAATACAGATCTCTAGTCAACTTCCGCACAACTTTTTCCAGCTTTTCTGTGATGCACACCATGTAACGGGCCATTAGGCTTGGTGCCAGGGGGGCCACCGCCTGTTAGCTCCTGGAGAATGAACATCCATCAAACAGGTCACCCCCACCCCCCAAGCCCTCTGCGCTATCACAGACTTCAGGAGGCTTTGCCTCATCTGGACAGCCCTCGGAAAAAGTGGCTTCACACTCCGTTTCTCACCTCTGAGGTTGGCTCCACTTCAATTTGAAGTAATGGATTTCCTTCCAAGCTTTAAAGAGAGAAAAGAAACGTGAGGTCAAAGATGGGCCCCTTCCACGCAGGAAGAGTCCCGGGACGCGAAGTCTCGTCACCAAGCCTTTTCCTTGAATCTCATGTCCGCACTGGTGTCTAAAATAACCCATGGCCTTGCCCAAAGCAGCAGTGTGCAAGGGCATTGCTTTCCGAGGATTTGGGGTGCTGCTCAGGCTCATTTGTCTTTATTGCTTTGGCTTCCTCTGACTCAGCTGATGGAAGCGGCCTAAATGCCCCGTGTGGAACAATTTGCAGAATTCCAGGTGTTTACGAGGAGAGAACTAATCAGATCTCCAAAGTTCACTGAGATCCGGACTCTGGGAAGGGTCTATGCACTCAGTTTGTGCGCTCATCTATGCTTTCTCTGGACTTACAAGCCGGGAAGGGCGGGAAGCCCCTCCAGGGGTCCAAGACTTGGATCAGCCTGGCCCCTCCCTGGAAACCTACACTGCTCCTGGGAAGGGCAGACTGCGACCGGGGCCACAGTCAGGTGCGGCTTCGGCAGGCAGGGTGATGGGAATTCCCCGGACAGGGCCGAGCCTGCGTGTGAAAGCTGTTTGAGCTGGACCCGGCCAATCGCAGGGAGTCGTGCAACGGCCGGGAAGACGCAGGTGGGGGCGGGGGGAGAGAAGACCTGTAGTCCACGAGCTACAGCTGTGTTCTGAGTTTGGGAACACACTGTGGCGCTGGGGGCTCGATGGGTGTGTGGGGGTGAGAACTCAGTGTATATGGACAGGGAGGGGTGCTGTGGGTGCTCTCTGTGCGCGTGCGAGTGGGCGCACACTGTGGGGACGTGGGGGCACACTGCTTGTGGATGGTGTGATTTCCGGGCTGAGGGCCGTGCTGGGGCGGGTCTGTGGGGGGGCTGGCTCATCAGAGGTGTCCCGGGATGCTGCGGAAGAGGGGGGCCTGGGGGTGTCGTGCAGCTGGAAGCACGGAGGAGCTGGCCGTGGTGGAAGGAGCATGGTGGATGCCACACCCCCTCTCTGCTTCTCTTCTTTCCTCCTCTCTTATCCTCCCTTGTCCTGACCCTCAGACCCCAGGGAGCACTGACCCTCCTGGTGACAGTGTCTAAGCCTGCAAGGCCCAGGAGGGGACAACAGGGTTGGTCACAAGGGGCATTTGCTACTATCACAACCAATCACTTACAGCACAGCCTGGGAAGAGGGGCTGCACCTTGGCAGCTGGTGAGCTGGAGTCTGACTCCTGGTGTGGAGCAACACAGCTCCTCACCCAGTGACACAGGCAGCCTCCTCAGCCTGCATCAGGCGTGACTGCAGCAGCAGGGGCTGTTAAGTCATCCCCCTCCCACTGCGCGCACATCTGAGCAGGTCGCAGGCAGCCACTGCCTTTCCGTCACGGGCGCGCCCCGACTGTCGGTTAATAACCTGGAGCTCGTCTTGCACAAATTGTGGGATTGGTTTATGTGCATCAGAGAAACAATCTGGGGCTGGATGTCGGCACGATATCCCCCAGCAAATTGCTGCTGCTTTGATTTCAGAGATGTACCATTTGGGTTGTTAACAAAGTCGATCCAGAAAGGCTGTAGTAGTTAGGGGCGCCAGAAGAAAAACCAAGTTGGCAAAAATGTAAGTGGGGAAACCATTTAAATCGAAACCAGGTCCCTGGCATTCCTTAGGCTTTAATCACAAGCCGAGAAGTCAAGAAAGGTCATTTCACTCTGGCTGCGCAAGCCAACAGACCCTGTGCGGGTCTGTGCAACTCAGCTCGCAGATACTCTGCAGGTCTCCTGGCCGCGGGGACATGAGGAAGGTGGGAGGTCCCAACAGAGTCAGAATCAGTGAGGAAGGCGCCAGCTGGCACGGTATTTATTCTACAGCCAACAACGCCTGTGAAGAGCCTGGACAAGTGCGAGAAGCGTGACCGGCTAACACAGCAGCACAGGAGCTGCCTTTGACACGCGGCTCCGTGAGATCACAAACTGGGGTGGGGGGCTGCTTTTCCTTCCTTTTTTACAGAATAGTGCAAATCTCCAAAAATTGCTTGTGTGACTTTCACAGTGGTGTAAACCAGAGGTCAGCAAACCGCTCTGTGAAGGGTCAGACCTGAGTACGTTAGACTCCGTGGGCCGCAGAGCTGCAGGCTCCGCTCTGCTGCTGCAACATGGAAGCCGCCACGGGCAGTGTGTGTGGACAAACGGGCACGGCGTGTTCCAATGAAACGGTCCATCAGGCCTCCCGGTGGGCAGCGGGGCAGAGCACAGCACTGAGGAGCCACAGCCACTGCAGCACGAGTTCGATCCCCGCCTGCCCCGGAGGTGACCACATGGCGCGGCAGACCTCTCCTGACCCGCCCGCTGCTCCCCTCAGCAGTGTACTTCGTCGATCTGCCTGTTCTGCTCCCCACTCTGTCTCTGGTGAAGCTTCTCATCGCCCCCGCACCTCTGGCCTGTACCCCAGTTGTGTGTGCATAAATTTCAATCTTTAAAAAAAAAACTTTATTCATAAAAACGTGTGACCAGCTGAATCTGTCCCACATGAATCTGGTTTGCTGATTCTTAAATCACACTTTTTAAAAGGGGGCAGTGATGTGGAGTAACGGCCTTCCCATTAAGCTCTAGCTCGTGTGAGTAAAGCCTTCTTTCTGCTCATTTGGGACAGGGGCCTGGGGCCCTAAGGGAGGACCCTACCCCCTGGACATCAGGCAGGGCCCGTGGGGCAGCAAAGCCTCTTCTGGATTGTCACTGTCCTTATAGCTCGAGTCACTCCCCACACCTGTCTGCACCTCGCCCCACTCCCGCCCTCAGTTTCAGGAACAACAACTCAAAGTGAGCATTCTGAAGACAGACAGACGGGGAAGTGATCCCTGTTCACTTACACTGGATTCGAGGTCACGGGGTGCAGGATGACCTGGGGCGCCCGGGCTGGCGTCTCTGGCACCGGCACCACATCTGAGAACCAGATTTGACAGTCAGAAACCAGCGTTTAGGCCGCACCCACCCCAAAGCCTGACTCCTGGGTGATGCTGACAGTTGGTAACTTCTCACCAGATTACGGGCCACTGGCTGGCCAAGGCCCCCTCTTCTTTCTCAACCACCTAGACTTGACCTGCTCAGGGGCAGCCACTTCTCCCCATGTTGTCAGAGTCCCTATCTTCTGGCCTGAAGAGCCCACGGGTCATCTCTGCCCCTCTGTACCCCTGAGGGGACTCTGAGTCCATGAAGCACTGAGTTCACATCTGTCAGTGTACCGTGCAGGCCACTCTGGCCACCATTCCCGTGCCACGGGCTCTGAATCCCCTCACCGTGGCCCATCCTCCCATTGCGGTCCCCTGCTAGGGCCTTTCCTGAGACCTGGGGCCCCCTCCCTGTCCACAGCCAGCCACTGCCCGGGGCTGCAGGGGTTCCAGCACCGCCCTCTCTGGGCTTACCCAGCCCACCGACATTTGCCTCCATCCACTGCAGCTACTCCACACCCCTCGGGGCTGGCTCACAGGAGACTCACCTGGGAAGATGAACTGCTGCTTGTACTTGCAGTAGTGGGACGCTTGAGGGGGAGAGAGGACACAGCGTGAGCGCCGCCCCACAGCGATCTCCTCAGGTCCCACACGGGGCTCCCAGGCACCAGCAGGGACTCTTCCCACCCTCGACAGTTTCCAGGTATCCGCAGACACCCCAGATTCCGAGGGACTGAGAACATGTTTGATGACACCACAGCCCTAAACATCCACGCCAACCCCGAGCCCACGAGCACAAGCCCGGTGTTGATAAAATGCACGAGGACACACACAGAGAACGCGCCGGGAGCCATGACGAAACTGTTTCCCAGCAGAGAGAGTGATCACCAGCAGCTTTTAAAAATACTTCGACCACAGTGAACTATCACCTCCCATCTGAAAGACAAGTGCTGGCAGGGACGTGGCGAGAAGGGTGCCCTCGGCACCACAGCAGGGCGGGCCACGCAGCCACATGGGCACGGTGCCAGCTGCCTGGGCAGCGAAGCCTGCGAGTCCCACTTCTGGGTGACAGCCACAGGGGAGGCTATCACCATCCCGAGAGACGCCTGCACCCCCAAGGCTCCCCGCAGCACCACTCACAGTCCAAGCCAAGACATGGCAACAAACTAAGCACCATCGAGGGACGGAAACGACAGTGCGAGGGGGAAGACGCAGCCGTGACAAGAAGTGCTGGTATTCGCACCAGTGTGAACGGCCCGGGAGGATATTCTACTACGTGAAACGTCGGACAGTGAAAACAAATACCAACATGACGCCACGTACATGCAGAATCCAGAAACAATCAAACTCATGGGAACAGAACGGGCTGGCAGTTGCTCGGTGTGGGGCTGGAGGAAGGTGGGCAGAAAGTCCACAGTTACGGCAATGTGCGTGGCAGGGACGACAGTTAGTGACACTGTGTTGTGCACTGAAAGCTGCTGAGAGAAGAGCTTGAAAGTCCTCACCACAAGGAAAATCAAATGGAGCTATGTGAAGTGATAGCCGGTAAGGAAACTAACCGCGGTAAGCATTTCAGAAGCATGCCTCTATATTCCACCACTGTGTTGTGCTCCTTAAAATTATGTAATATCATAATGTCAATCTTCAAAACAAAAACAAACTAGAAAAAATCCTTTATGCAGTTCCTGTGTTTTCCAAATATTTGGCACAGAGCATTGTATTATTTTTCTTCTTGATGATGAAATTACCACAATTTGGGGGGCTTTCAATAATGCGAATTTACCCTTCTAAGAATCTGGGGGTCTGAAATAAGTCATAAGGAGTTAAAACTGAGATGTTCACAGATCCATTCTTTCTGGGCCCAAGGCAAATGGGTTCTGGGCCTTTCCTGGCTGCTGGACCTCCTGCCTGTCCTGGCGCACGCCCACCCTCCAGGCTCGGCCTCCCCAACACCACCTCCGATGTCTCTGCCCGCTGCCCTCTTGTAGGTCCCTGTGGTGCATGAGCCCCCAGTTGTCCAGGTTACCCCTCCACCTCAAGATCCTCAACTTGGCCAGAGGTGCCAGATACAGCAACAGGCTCAGAGATTCAGGATTAGATGTGGCCACCTCTGAGAGACATTATTCTGCTCATCACAATCAACAATGTCCACATTTGGGCGGAAAAAAAAAAAAAGTTAAATTCCGTCAACTTCACCGCTGATTCTCATCCAGAGGCCAGCCGGACAGTCACCCAAGTTTCTGCTGTCATCACTCCAAGCGGGGTGGAGGGCCCTCCAAGGTGTCAGGGGGGAGGAGAGGTCACAGAGCTTTGTATCCCCACAATAAGGAAGGAAGCAGGGACAGAGCCAGATAGGGTCTGAAGCAGTGGCTGTAACTCCCAAGCAATCTAAGTCACCGAGGGACAAGCTGGGCCGAGAGCTGGTTCACCCACATGGGCACGGCGGCTGGAGGCCGCGGGCCTGCGAGCGTCAGCCTGCTCCCCCCTAGGCTGCTTGTACACGCTTGAGCGAAGTCTCCAAGTCTCGGTTCCGTGCGTGTGAAGCGGGGGTAACAGCAGCCTCGCCCTAAGAGCCGAGGCCCTCAGCCCCTGGCAAGGGTGTGTGGCGAGTGCAATCAGGCCAGGCACACATCACTTTATTGCGCTCTGTAGGCTGCCTTTGTCTCAGACTGAAGGGGGGGGGTGGCCACCGTGGGTGGGCAAGTCTGCGCCATTTTGCCCAACAGCAGGAGCTCACGTAGGCTACATCCAGTTAAGCTTTGCACATCGTCTATGCAGACACGATGCTACCCCATACTTCACAGGCTACTGGGCAGTGTAGACAGCCATTATATGCACTGGGAAACCCCAAGATTCACGATTCTCCATACTTCAACTGGGTTTTAGCGTGGCCCTCTGGGAGCCCCCTGCAACTTCTCTGTGTCTTTCTAAGTTCTCTTAACTAACAGACAAACATGATTTATAATTAAGAGACAAGGAGCCGTTTCGAGAGCTAAGACGTCAGCAGTTCCTGAGACTGGAGAGGATGTGCAACTTCCCAGCTCCCCCACCCTGCAGTCCCAAGAGGGCCCAGGATCAAGCACCCGTAGACACCCAGCTCACAGCGGGTGAATGAAGCTTTACACAGCAATTCCCAAATATCCCAGAGAGCTGGCGTCCACGTGCATGCAGTCTTGATTCTGGAAACTGAAGTTCCTAGGCGGGGGAGCAACTCCTTCAAGACCACAGAGCAGAACTTTAAAAGAAAACCAGCCTCCATGGTTCCAGGCCTTTCCTTCTATTAGCTGGCCTGGGCTTCCCCCCAGCATAGGAGGACTTACTCAACAGGGTCTAAAATTAAAAAGGAAAAGCTACCCGGGCTCTCAAGAGGCTTAGCTGATCCCTAGCGTCCCTGGGCGCCAGCTGGGACAGGGATTCGGTGTCTGCAGAGAGTAGCTGGAGCTACGTCTCCAGAAAGGGAGGGGCGGGTGGTGGCCATCAGGCACTGCTCTGAGAAGGGTCAGGTGCCAGGCAATGGGATGAGGCACATGCCTTCACGTACAGAGTCACCCCCTCCTCAAGCCCTTGGGGTGCTGAGAACAGCTCGTTCCTGAAAGGGAGAGGACGGCCAGGAGATCCAGCAAAGGAGGAGAGGCCCTGAGCCCTGTTTGCGCTGAGGAGAGCACAGCAGAGGCTCTGGAGAGGCAGCCTGAGTCCAGCAGCGGGCTCAGGGGCGCCAGTGGCTGTCTGGGGTCACACAGGACCCGGGACAGGACGGCTTCATTTATGGCCCGGGCCAGAGAGACAAGGAGTCCTTTCTGGAACTCCTACTCCCAACTTATACCTTCCCAGAGAGCAGCCTGAGTGGCCTTCTAGAAAGAAGAAAACAGGATCAAACCATCCCCAGTCTGATCCCTCTGACTGCCCCCACTGTGTCTTCAGCCAAGCAGATCCCGACCCACCCCCGCCCGGCCAGGCTGGCCTCTGCAGCGGCATCTCACTGGTGCGGCCTCCCCTGTGATGGCGCTGGCCGGGGCACTCTGCAGTGGCAGGGCCTGTGCACGTGCCCTCCCTCCCTTCAGACCTCGCTGCCGCTCACCTTCAGCCTACACGTGCTCCTCCCAAAGGCACTCGCGCGCAGCTCTAGCTCGCACACCGCCGCAAGTCAGAACCCTGCACCCACGTGCATGTCTGCCACAGCAGCGCGCGTGTCTCCACCGAGACACAAACCCTCTGGGGGGAACACTGCCCCCCGCCCCCGGCCTCTGCCAAGAAGCCCATCCTAGACTCGGAGAGCGCGAACATTACTCCACATGGTGAAAGGGACTTGGCGGACGCGGCTGAGTTAAGGATTCCGACATGGGGAGACGCGCCTGGTTCCCTGGGTGGTCCCAGGTGTACTCACAGGGGTCCGCAGAGAAAGGAGGCGGGAAGGTCGTCAGCGAGATGCAGATGCTCTGACGACGGAAGCAGAGGTTGGAGACGGGGCCACGGGCACAGGGATGCCAGCAGCCACCAGAAGCTGGGAAAAGCACGGAAGTGGATTTTCCCCTAGAACTTGCAGAAAACAGACCTGCCTGACACCTTGAATTGCAGACAGTGAAACAGGTTTTATACTTTTGACCTTTGTAAACGTAACACGATTAATTCGTGCAGGTTTATGTCTCTAAGTTGGTTACACTGCGTGACAGAAGCACAGGAAACCCGAGGGGGGGGGCGGGCTGGTGTGTGAACCACTTCACACCTCGTGTGCACACAGGAGCTGGTACAGAGCAAATGTTCAACAGGAAGCCACTGAGGAAGGAAGTGAATGAATGATGCCACCTGAGGGCTGAAGACAATTTGGAGAGAGAAAAGTACAGCACGGACAGTGCATAAACACCAAGTCATTCATTCACTCAGCCAACATTTAATCGGGGCACCCAGCGGCAGGCAACTTGTTGGGGTTGGGGCATAGTGGCGGCTGAGGCAGACTCAGTTTTAGTCTCATGGAGCTGACGTTCTGATGGAGGAGACAGACACCTGCGCAAGTGAAGACAATGAGGCAGGGAGCAAGGACCCTGCACTGAGCATCAAGAGGCATCGGGCAGAGCAAAGAGAGGGGTTCTGGGAGGGAGGAACAGTCGAGTGGCTCAATCCACGCGAGGTCTTAGAAACTCCCGTCTCTGCCAAAGGTGGATCCTTTTATTCTCTCTCTTGGGGCCACTGGAATTTGCCATTTTCTGATGGGAGTGGGGAGTGGGCTGGCCAGAAAGCTTCAAAGGTAATGGAACCTACAAGCAACCCCCTTACAAAGGCCCTGGGCGCACATTCCCACAGCAATGCCGCAAAGCCAGCACCATCAGCCCCACTGGGCAGGTAAACAGAGTTCTGGAGACCCCAAAGACAGGACGGGACAAGCTGGGCACCAAGCCCAGGCCTGACTGCCAGGGGAGCATGCTGGGCTGACGCCGCTCTGCCCACGCACAGGCCCAGGGAGGCGGCAGGGAGCCCCCAGCAGGCACAACACCGCCCCGTCCCAGCCTGTGCAGGCCACGCTCCGGTTCCCAGCTAAGAGCTTTTCCTTCACGTGACCAGCAGTGAACAAGTGAGCCAATGCCCGTTAGCTCATAGCCCCTTTTAGACCAGAATCTTCTAGATCAGTCAGTGCTGGGGACACTGTTACACACAGTCATTAGGCTAAATAATCTTCAGCAAACACAACTGCTGGCAGGACCCAGCACCAAGGCGCCATTTCCCACCGGGACAGGCCCACGGGTCAGCGTGCCGGGCGGCCAGGGCTGGCAGCAGCAGGACAGGAGCTTGTCTCCTCGGGGCTTGATGAAACTACCCGCAGCAGGGGAAGGTCCTGCTGCCCTTCTGGCCAGTCCTATTTTGCTTTCCAGTTCCACACTACATTGTAATGTCATCACTCAGTTATAACAGCAGTGAATGCGCTGCATTATTATCCACATTAGACAAGTACATGAAATAAAATCCCTCTCTTTAGATGAAGCCACCCAGAAGTTCTCGCACTGTTCTGCACGTGCACAAATACATAAACATATAGAAACATACATATGCAAATACACATAAATATCTCACAGCAAGTATTGTGGATGCTACTATTTGCAAAGCAAGTCACTTATTTTTCCGCTGAAAATCCATATGGCTATCGTTCCAAGTCAGCAAGGTGGCTGAGTATGTGATCACACAGCCAGAATCCAGGGTATTCTACCAATTCCCTTCCAATGGGATCAGCCCACTCCTGCGGTGAAACCCTTACAGGTACAGCCCTGTGCCCCATGCAAGGGTTTCTGGATGTAAAGTTTTAACACTGCTATTACTGGTCCAAGGACTGTACATTCAAAACTTAAAATAACCAACAATAAAACACTAACAGACAGTGTCAGGTAACCTCCCCGCAAGCTCTCCCATTCCCAGCACCAGGGTGCATGGATTGCATTTTTCCACAATTCTCGTTAAGCCCATATTAATTAGTGGTGATGAGAAATGCCCCAAATGGTAGCCATGGTAACTCGGTACTTTGTTTATCTAATAATAATGAAATTGGCTCACATTTGTGGAGATCTTCAGTGGGACAGGCTCTCTGCTAAGCTTTGTCCATGCATGATGACGTTTAGTCCTTCAACGATTCTACGAAGTAGGTGCTATTATTATCCCCACTTCACAGATGTGGGAACAGAGGCACAGAGAGGTGAGTTATTTGCTCAACATCATGCAGGTGCTAAGTGGTGGAGCTGGGGTGTGAACCCAGGCAGCCTGGCTCCAGTGCCCACACCCTGAACTGCTGTTCTCAAGTGCCTTCTCCCAAAGGACCCTTAGCTCACGGGGCCACAGCCCGGAGCAGGCCCCCAGCATGGCGGATGGCTGAGGGGTCTACCCTGGGGACTCTGAGGGAAGGAAGGAGATGGGGTGCAGTGCCCCCCCTCCCCAGAGACTAAGGTCTCTTGTCCAAAGACGCCAGTAGGGTCTCTCGGGGGGTACCAAGAGTTGTGGCGCTTTGATGCATGGCTCTCTCTTAAGAGGGCTCTCTTCCGACCACTAGACAAAGCAGAACTGATTTAGGGAGACCAGATCTGAAGTCCATCTAGGGCTGGCACTACAAAGGAGGGAAGTTCTAGGATAACACCAGGGTCTACTTCCTCCACATTGAAGGGGGCTCATAGGATGCCAGAGGGTCTTTTGTCCATTCACCCCCTTCCAGAGAAGTGGAAATGGGTCTACGCTGGAGATGGCAGTGGAAACGCCAGGCAACCTGCCCAGCGGACTCAGGCACACACAACAAGGTTCCAGTCCCTTTCGGTGGCTGCCAGGTGACCCAGCCTCACACCGGGAAGATCTGACTTCAAGATGCCCCTCACAGTGTGGGCAGATGACAGTCAGCTCGTCCTTACGTGTGTGGTTGTGCCTGGTGTTCTCCAAGTGTGGGGCCACTATCTACTCGTGTCTGGTTAAGGCTTAGTGGTGCGATCTGTGGCTGAAGTCCTGAGGTGGTTTTTCCCTGTGTGGAGTGTGGAGTTCACTAAATCAGACGTACTGACTCCCCGACTAGCTAGTGCTTGCTGTGGTGATGGGAGGGTTCTCAGTCACGACACCTGAGGTGGTGGCCACCAGCCACGGGCGACTCCTGAACACTGGAAAGGAGGCCACTGTGATGAAGAGTTAAACTTTCAATTCTGTGTAGCCTTAATTCATTTAAATTTAAGCGGCCACCTGTGGCTAGTGGCGCCATGTTGAACACCACAGGGCAAGGCTCTGGTTCCAGCTGGCTAAGCCACACTTCCTCAAAGCCAGCACTACGTGGCGTGACAGACATGGGGCCCAGAGAGGCCGTGGGCTGGGCCAGGCCCGGGGAGGTGGGCTGAGTGTTAGGCCTGGGCCTCCTGAGGGCAGACAGCAACCCCTTCTCACGTCTCATGACAAAGAAGGCCAAGACGAAATGAGTTGTGAGCAGCTTCCGCACCATCTCTGAGCCCAGAGCATACTCTAGGGAGTGGCCCAGTGCCCTGGAATTAATGAACTGGAGGCACCTTTGGGGTCCTCTAGTCCAGCTGTGAAAAAGCTGAGGTCCGAGGTTGCAGGGCAGGTCCCGGACCCCACATCGGGTCCAGGACCCGGCCTGGCCATTCAAGCCCGACCTGGCAGGTGGGGTAAGGCGCGCCCTCCTCAGGCAAGTGGCCCCCGAGGCCTCGCTGCCGATTTCAACTCACTGAGCTCCTAAGACCCCGGCCAGCCCCAAGCTGTGGCCCATTGTGACTTACCCTGAGCTGGAAGCACGGGGTTGCTGCTGACCCCAGACAGAGTCTCGAAGGGTCCCTGACCTCTCTGAGCCTCAGTTTCCTTGTCTGTAAAATGGGGCCGATTACACTCACCAAGTGACTACTCACTCTGCAAACAATTATGCAATGACAGGCAGCTGCCTACTGTGTACTCGAGTACAGACTGGCCCCCACCAGCCCCCGCCCCCGCGGCCCCAAGCACGCTGGTACCTGGTAGGTTGAGGTTCTTCTGCTGCCTCGTGCACTGCGGGGAAGGGTGAAGGGGAGAAGGCGGCGTGGCGCTGGGAGGGAGGGGGGGCGCCGGCGAGGAGGGCGTGGACGAGGTCGTGGACGAGGGGTTGCTGCTCGAGTCGGGCTGGTAAGGGACAGGGATGTGGTCCTGCAGAAAGAAAGTGGGACGGGGGCAGCGGGACGTGGCCATGAGTGAGCCGAGCAAAAGCGCCCTTCGCCCCCCAGCACCCTCAGCTCCCCTTCCTTGGCCACCCCCGCCTCCCACCTGCTTCCTCATGCCCCCTGGGCTGCATCCAGCTGTGGAAGGAACCGGCTCTGCATGGCAAAGTGAAGGTGAAGCTGTCACGGAAGTCCCGGCCATGTTCCCGTGCCTCCTTGATTCTGGAAGGTCCCACACCCAAGGGCCCACTGCCATTCCCTAGCTCCTCCTCCTGGGCGTTTGTCAAAGAACCGACAGCCTGACAGCTAAGCAGTGCGCGAGGCCCGGCCTTCAGGCCCGCCCACGCCCTTCCTGCTGCCCCTCCTGCCCTCCAAGCTCAGTCTGAAGGCAGGATGAGACAGGAGCGCCGCGCGCCTCAGAATATCCTGCGGCCGGAGCGCGCCTGAACCGGCCCCCCAAACATGTCCCCTTGAACCGCTGTCATGGGCCTTATCTGGACGTCTCACAGATGCCACTGAGGCAAGGGCGAGGCTGAGAGCTGAGACCGTCCTGGATGGGGGTGGGCCCTACTTCTAGCGTCCAGCGTGCAGCGCCCGTGTAAGGAAGAGGAAAGGAGAGACCGCTCGGAGGGAGGCCCTGGACGCGGAGGGGGGCTGGACCCAGCTCCCGTGACCAGAACGCCAAGAATGCGGAGCCAGGCAGGGGGCGTGGAGCCCACTGCCCCGAGCATCCCGGAGGCCCGGCGCCGCCTGCACCCCGACTCTGGGAGAAGCGTTCGCCGATCCAGCTCCCGGCCCGTGGCAGACCCAACGAGCAGCATGCAGGCCATGGGGCCTGGTTCGACCTCCACAGCCGCCTCTCCCCCAGCATCCCGGACAGTGCTCAGCCGCTCCACTCTCCGCTTCACCTCAGCCTGTCCACTGCAAACTCAGCAGGACGCCAGCGGCCGGCCTCGCCGCTGCAGGAAGCCGCCGCTGCGTGCACGTTCCGGGCTCTGTTCGCTTTCCACTGGGCCAGTCTTGCCTTGGCTCATGCCCATCAGCATGTCTCCACCTAAAAATGTTCTTGCTCTGGACTCTGATCTTCCACTTTTCACTCTCCACTGGCCTGCTCCCCAGCACATACCCCTGCCGCCCAGCTCCCGGGCTGCCCACGCGTTCTTTTGCGTCCCCTTCTCCCTCCCACCACCCGTGTTCCTCTTCGCGGCCAACGTCTTTGCAAGGGTTTTCTCCACTTGCCTCGTCTCTTCTCTTTGGAGCCCGGCGGCCCCCAACTAGCCTCTTGCACACAGGCCTCGACAGAGCTCATCTGCTGGCACGGCTGTCCCACGGTCAGGCGGTCGCGGTGCCCTGTGCAGGCCCTGACCACCGGCTACGTCCCCTCCGGGATAAACTGCCACCCTTAGCCTCCGCACCCTGCCGTCCCCCTGGTTTTCCTGCCACCAGGCCCCACCCGAGGTCTCCTTCCCTGGTTTTCCCCTTGCCTGTGACCTCCTACCCTCAGCGCGCCGCAGGGCAGGTCTCAGAGCTCATCTGCGACCTGGAGGCTGCCTGGAGCGGCCGCCGCTGACCTGTCCTCACAGCGTGTCTCCCGCCCACCGCGGAGCTCTGCCGTTGCCCTTGAATCCTACATCCAGCCCCCAAACTACCACCTACCTTCTTTATATCCAAAAGGGCAAATTTATTCTTTAAAAAAAAAAAAAAAGGAACGGCAAGGCCAGATACAAGTGGGCGTAAGAGCTGCCGAGGGTGGGCTTGTGGAGAGAGGCCGGCCCAGACCCAGGCGGAGCCGTGGGAGCGCTGCCCCCCCGCCCCCACACACGGCTCCTAGGAAAGCCTGAGGCACGCCTGGCCCACGCCACCGTCACCTCTCCTGCAGATGATGGCAGTGACCCCAAAGTGGCCTCCCTGCAGTCCCCAAAAGGCAGTCTGAGGGACCTGTCACAAGTAAGCCGGGTCCCATTCCTCTCTGCTCAGCGGGCGTGGCCCCGTGCTCCAAGGAGGAGACAGCCCTCCCCGTGGGGGTCCAGCTGTGACTGCACTTGATTCTCCGTCCTCATTACCCCCACTCTCCCCTGGGCTCCCCCAATTCCAGCCATGCTGTTCTCCCTTACTGACTGTGGCAGGTAGAATGCCCCTCCGACTCCCACTGTAAGCTGGGGTCACCTTACATGGCAAAAGTCACAAGCACAAACAGCACACCCTGGGCTGTGCCCAAGGGCCCCGTGTAATCACACGAGCCCTGCAAAGCAGAGGAGTGTGCCCCTGGCTTGCGAGGCATGTGGCTGACGTCGGCGCCATCTGGAGCCTGGAAGGACTCAACCTCTCATGAGGTAAGAGCCACATGCTAGAACGAGGCCGGGCAGGTGCAGCGAAATGACCACGAGGAGCAGCGTCAGGCCAGAAGTGAGTCTGGGAGCAGTTTTACCCCAGAGTACCCAGGACAGATGCAACACTCTGGGTCTGGGGGACTAAACGTTAAGACCTAGTTCAGCCACACTCTGACCGACAGAATGATGAGACAATGAATGTTTTACATAAGCCGCTGAATTTGGCACATGGGCTTTTATTGTGGCAGCAAAAGGAGACAAATACACTGATACTGAAAAGGCTAAGGATGCTTCTACCTCAGGACCTTTGCCCCAGCCAGCAGGGCTCAGCGCCTATAATACGCCCCGGAGTGTAGGGGTGGCCCCTCCCCCGTCGCCTCCACTTTCCTCTCTGCAACAGTCCCCTGTCTGCCACATCAGAATTTGTGACTTGCCCCCAAGATCTCTTTAACCTCATCATCGTCTCTGATATCTATGGAAACGTAACTGCGTTTATTTATTTGTTAGGCTGCTTCTCTATAGCCTATCCCCTCTGCTAGATTGTGAGCAAACCTTGTTCCACTCACTGCTGTCCCAGCCCTAGGCGGGTGCTGGGCACACGGGCGCGGAGTGACGCACCCCGTGGAGCGGGAGCCTGGGTACCGCTCCAGACCACACCCTGACCAGCGTGTGGGTTGGGGAGAGTAGCGGCCCCTCCGTACCTCTGCTTCCTGTCTGTGAAGGGGGCCGGGGGGGGGCAACTCTGTCGAAGGGACAGTGTGAGTGTTAAATGAGGCACAGCTGTCGCATTTTGTAGCCTATTTGTGGGGGGCTTACAATAGGCCTGGGTAAATATAGGCGACACAGAGCTTTGCTATAAACAAGTCTCTCTGGACGCCCAAGGACACATGGCCAAGGTTATGCCTGTCATGGTCCCAGAGCTCACCCCACTCCCCACAGTCACACTGCCCCAGCTCAGGGACTTCACCTGTGTGAGCTTCCTTCTCCCCTTATCCATCACACAGGCAAAGGGAATTCACCTGGTGGGCTGTTGGGAACTTTAAATAAAGATATATAAGGACCCGACCCTTAGCAGTGGGTTGAGACACTCAGTTATCAATAAAAAGTAGGTATTATGTTCAGGACAGTCTTCATTTTTGCAATTAAACTCTTTATTTGAGATAACTGCAGATTCACATGCAGCTGTGAGAAATCATGAGAACTAAAGCTTCCTTACCCTGCTTTTCCCAGTGATAACATTTTGCAAAATTACAATACGATAGTTATAGTCCAGATATTGAATATACAAGAGAGGAGAGACCCATCACTGAAGTCCATCATGCCATCCTTTTAGAGCCACACCTACTTCCTTCCCTCTTTTCACCATCCCGCTTCTCTCCAACCCCTTGAACCATTCATCTGTCCTCCAATTCCGTAATTAGTCATATTAAGCAGGTTATATAAATGGAATCACACATCGTGTCATCTTCCCAGTTGGCTTTTTTCACTTAGAATAATCCTCATTTTCTTTCCTTCCTTCTTTGGAGAACACCTGCCAGGTGTCAGGCCATGGGAAGAAAACAGTAGGACTTGACTGATTTCAGCCATACGGGTGATGGCAGGATGAGAATGATGTAGTTGCTATGCTCTTCCTACTGCGCAGCTGTGTTCTGTGACATGGATGTACCACAACTTGTTTAACCATTCACTCACTGAAGCAACCCCTCTCTGTGGTTACTTTGGATAAAGCTACTATAAATATTCAAACACAGATTTTGTGTGAACATATGTCTTTATCTCCCTGGGCTAAATGCCCAGGAGTCCAATTTCTAAATAATATGGTAATTGCATGTTTAGTTTTAAAAGAAAATATAAAAGCTGTTCTCTGTAGTGGCTGTGCCATTTTATGCCAGCAATGTGTGATGGACTTTTTTAGCATCCTAAGCAGTGTTTGGTGGTATCATCAATTTAAAATTTAGTCATTGTGATAGGAGTATAATGATTCGCAACTGTAGTTTTAATTTGCATTTTTAATGGCCAGTGATACTGAACTTCTTTTCAGTCTTAATTACTGTAACTATATAAGAAGGCTCAAGATTGCGTCGCCCAATACCTCCCATTTTATTCTTTTTCAAAATGATGCTGAGCTATTCTAGTTCCTTTATCTTTTCATATAACTTCAAAAATATGCCCATCTTTATATGGACTAAAAGAATCCTTCCGGCATTTCGATAAGACTTAAGATAAATCTGTGTATCATTTTTGAGAAGAACTGAAATCTTAACTACACTGTCTTCACATCCATGAATGTGGTATGTTTGTCAGTTCCCTAAATCAGAAAAAAGTAGACAAAGAGGTTTTGTCTTTTGCCCAGTTGAGAAGTTTTTTGATCATTATTTCTTTGAGAACTTTTCCAGCCCTGTCCTCTTTTTCTCTCCCCCAGGACTGTGCTGACATTAATGCTTCATCTTTCAATATGGCCCAAAGGATATGCTCATTTTTTAAAATCCATTTTCTTTCTGCTATCCACATTGAGTAATTTCTACAGTCCTATTTTCAAGTTCACATATTCTTTCCTCTATCCCTCCACTCATTGAGTCTACCCACTATTTTTTTACTTTAACTTTTATAGTTTCTAGTTGTATGTTCTACAATTTAAATATGGTGGCTCTTCTAATTT